TTAGATGGATTGCCAAACAACAAATAACAATAACCTTGAAACAACATAATGGTACCAACTATAGGAGCAAATGTAGATATCAGTAACCACATAAGTAGGGGTGAGCAAAACCCGAATTATCCAAAATCCGAACCCGAACCCGAACCCAAACCGAAGATAAGGTATTTATGTAAACCCTGAATGCCCCGAAATCAGAAAATCAGAAAACCGACCGTTGAGGGAAATTTTGGGTTCAGGTTGATTTTGATTTTTGGCCACCCGATCCGTCCGAAAACCCGAAATATATATACACATATATATATATATATATATTTAAACACTATATAAATATAATTATTTATCTAATTATCTTTTGAAAATTCTAAAAATCTTAGTCGGTTGTGTTTCTTTTTCTTTTAATTTTTTAAGCATATTATCGATTTATCAATCCTCTAAACCGATTGAATTCATCGTCAAAGGCGATTGAATATTTTTTTGCATTATAACTAAGCCCGAACCCAACCAACCTCAACTCGAAACTCCACCAACCCGAATTAACCCGAAGCAATCCAAAATCCAAAAATTGGGGCTTGATTTTCATATCCGAAATCCGATCGGGTTTTTTATTTTTCTACTCGAACCCGTTCGACCCGCCGACACACACCCCCTACACATAAGTAGTTATGCAGACTAACATAAGCAAATAACAACCACCACTAGAAGTATAAATCGTCAAACAGACAACAAAAACAAACAGAAATTCAATAAACGTAAAAATAGATAGCAGTCGCCAATAAAAACATATAACAATAGCGGATTCATGAGTTTATATGTTAAAGCTTAAAGTCGTTTTCTAGTCAAATTGTTGAAGTACGAAAACAGCTAAGTAATCAGGCAGATAGAGATAGTAATATTCGAAAGTCTTAAACATTTACAAAAACTTATAGAAACAATCAGCAACACGATATAATGAATGATTATTTAATGTTTTACATATTTTTTTCTATAATGTAATTAATTAATACATTTTTTTTGTCATTAAATATTTACTAATTTTTTTCCCAGTGCTTATATAAATTTGGCTGCATTTTTTTAAACCATTAAATGACATACATAGAAATTAGCCGTTGGTTTATTAGTATTTAACGTGGCCTTATTAAATTGGTATTTGTTATAAAATAACTGAAAAGAAACAACAATAAAATGAGACCAAGAGATGATATCAAATGTTGATGATTTAATAACATAGGTAGTGTTTGGTACGCAGACTGGACATGACAAAACTAATTGTCTATCTTATGTTTGGTACGACTAGGACAGGACATAACGAGACAAAACTATTAAAATGACCATTTTAACCTTGAATATTGTTCAATGTTATTTTATATCATATAATGATTGTAAATAATAACAAATCAACCAAAATATATTATACTTTGAGGGTATAAAAGTAATTTTGAAAGATTGAGAGCGTACCTGAAATGGAGAAAGAATGGAGGTTTTGTATTGAAATTTAAGCGTATAAAAATAATTTTATAATTTGTCCCATGTTGTTCCACCCATTTTGGTGGAACAAAAAAAGCTCAAGATTTGTCCATTGAAAATTAAAAATAGTTTCACATTGTCCTATGCTCTTTTTGTTTATGACATGCCAAACATGTAACTATTTTTTTGTCCCCTCTCATCCCATGTAGTCTACATATCAAACACACCCGTATTGACATCTTTGAAGCTTTTAGCAAGAGACCGAAATGAGTATGAGTTTGACATACGAACCCAACTAAAATGTTTTAATACATTAATGGTATTTTGAGAGATTTTGTCATAAAGTCAAATAACTATTATAAATCAAATTTAAACTTTTACCGTCTCAACGGTATTTTGAGAGCTTTTAGCAAAAAAAAAAAAAAAAACCAATATATCTGGGGTTGAAAATGTAACTTCCAAAAATTAATTAAGCTTGAAAATAATAAATAAAAATCCATAATTAAGATAAACATTTGAATAATATTTTAACATTTTTATGCTAATTTTTGGAGCTTTTGGCAAAATACTAAAAATTATGAGAGTTAAAAGTGTAACTTTTAAAAATTGATTAAAATTGTGAATTATAATTAAGAAGAACATTTAAATATTAATATAAGTAAATAAATAATTCACACGATAAACTAACTGCAAACTAATTGAATAAGCATTTAAATATATGAATACTAAGATGAACATTTAAATTAACCATCTAAATATACGAATATTGTAAACTAGTTGGATAAACATTAATAAATAATAATAAGTTAATAACAGTTAAAAATGACAAAAAAAATATACTAACCCAATTAAAATGAGATGAAAACAAAATTGAACCAACTAAAAGTCTAAATAGTTACTTAAATTAATCTAAAAAGTAGGTCTCATCATTTAATTAAATAAAACTAATTAGATATACCAAAATAGAAATAAATAAAGAACTCGTTTAGTTTAGATAAAGACTTAAAAACAATTAATAATTAATTGATAAATTCAATTTAAATCAACATAACATGGATAACAATAAAATACATGTCATTAAAAATGTAATGTATTTACTAATAAGCTAAAAAATAAATAAATTAGAACAGTGAATAATTAAATAACACAAGTAATATAAATGCAATGATATAAAAATAATAATTAATTTTTTTTATTAACTTGGATATTCAACTTGTTATATGAACCGACTAATCTCAGGGCTACCACCTGCTTTGCAGATAACGGACTAATTTTTTGTTGTATTGCCTTAAATGATATTTTTTAATTTTCTGCCATAATAACCTTAAACAAATTTGAATTTATATGTTCGTGTTCTATGAATATTCAGGATAACATCATTGACGCAATTATATTAATGGTATCGAAGTACATAACTACAAAAATGCTTACTTGGATTGTAGAAATGTTGATGACTGATTGATGAAGTTGGAAGCCCGAAAATCTAACGATGAACTGGTTGAATATATTTACTGATAACATGTTATAGAATAACTGAAAAAGAACAATAGAATAGAGAGAAGAAAATATGTAATTCTCATTAATCATAAGTCTTTTTTATATGGATGAATTATAAACAAATAACTACAAGATATTTCACTTCTAATATAATTTAATATCATTTAGACGATAACACACTTATCTTACATCAGTATTTTATATATTTGTTAAAGAAAAGAAATAATAGTGTTTTATTTATGTTTATGTTAACAACAAAATTAAGAATACGACGGCGCCTGTTTTGTATTCGGAGATGAGATGACTCAGAAAGAACGACGGAACAGCAATGATTATGGACCTTGATGGGTCCCACCTTTTTAATTATTCAGATTATTTTTTCAAAGAAAAACATCGATATTTTATATAACATTTTACTTTTTTATATTTAATTTTCTTTTTTAGAAAAACAAAGGTCCCACGAGGGGGAAAAAATCGCTTCGCTGCTTTTAAGAATATATTATGTACTCCACCCACCCTAAAAACATATAATTATTCGTTTATTTACCTTTTTTAATCTTACATTAATTTTTTATAACACGATTACCAGTAAACTGTATAAATAACGTCATGAGAAAGTTTTAACCAGAAAAAAGACAATCCTCCATCATCCACAACGAAATAATGGTCAAACACGAAGCTCAACCTTGATCTAAGTATCTCAACAGAAAACGACTTACCATCAAGATGAGAAACCAATCCTCCAAAATGGAGTTACAAATTCCTAAATTACCTGTGTAAACGACAAGGTAAATGTTGGGCAGCGCCCTCAAACTCGACTCTTTACCTGTTGAGTCACCAAAACTGTAACTGAGCTCCACCTTGAGTCTAACACAAAGTTGAAGGTATAACTGATAGGGAAAACGGTGAGCATAACAAACCAGTCTTCTACTTCGGTCAAATATCGAATAGAACAAACTTTACCACGAGTGGGAGTGGGACCCATGATTGAAATGTGATCCCAAATATAAAACTGATGAACAAAAACGAAGAAGTAATTAAAAACCATACCAAAAAATGCAACAAAAAAGTTCCAAATTCAAACATAGAATTGACCATTTATGTATAATCATAAACTAAAAAATTTAACTAATAGAATTTGATAAGATTCTAAAGATTTTTTCATAAATGCACAAATTTAGTCATCAAATTATGCATAGTTTCATATATTACTGCAGTATTATTTAAGGGGACATTTACTAAACACTTACTTGATAAGTGTTTACTGGATATATTTCCTCATCGGATGAACATGAGAAAGTTCAAGAATCTTACTGGGTAAGAGCGATGAGAAGGATGAAGAGTCTTATTCAATAAGTGAGGATGACGACTCTTATCCAGATAAACGCTTACCAAGTAAATTGTTGCATTCGATATGTTTTGATATACTGAAATTTTACGCATCAAAATAAATCATAGTGTTGATTTCTATTGATAAAACGTTTACCGGGTAAACAATTGAGTAAACGGCCCCTAAGACTTAGAAGAATAACACATCAAATTTTAAAACCTTAACCTTGGCAACAAAGTAGAAAGAGTGGGGAATAAGAGATTCAAGCGAAGAGGTGGAGCAACTAAGTGGTGTCAGGCATATTTAGGTGAAGAAGCGACTGACAAAGGCTTCCGTTATAAATCTAAGGTTGAAGGTGCGTTTAAAATACCTCTAATAAACCATAAAATGTGGTACCTGATTGGTTTGAGTTTGACTCTAAAGGTCAAAAATATATGTAGGTCTCAGGTTCAAATTTAAAGAGGAATAAAAATCCCCTTGTGGCTACGGATGTTCAAATGCGATGACTCCGAGCTATCAGCAAAACAGATGGTCTCTCTGAGATTGGTCAGCTCGCATAGCGGGTTGGATATCTAGGTTAATTAAAAAAAACCCCTCTAATAATATATAATATTTGAGTTTTAGAGAAGAACAAAAAATAAGGGTGTCAAAGTATCATTCCGCAAAGAACAAGGACACTATTTTCCTATGTATAAAGTTAAGGGTAGTAATGTGTAATTTACCCAATTTAATCACGAACACTCATAAGCGGTTCTATTTCTCTATTTGTATGTGTATATATATTGTACAGGTTATCAGTCTCGATTCATCTGTGCCACTTTTAGCAACCACATTACCAAAATGCGCTGCCGGTCCGACGGCAATCGCCGATCACCGGCGCCACCACCGCTCCTCACATTAACCCTCCTCTTTCTCTTCCTTCGTTTGTCCACCGCTTGGCGCCCATGGCCTCATCAGAAAAACAACGTCACGGAGCTCCAATTCGGAGGAAATAAAAAGTACGAAGGCTCGTCGGAGTTCGTTAAACTGAGATACCATATGGGACCAGTTCTTACCGCTAATATCACCGTACACATTATCTGGTACGGAACTTGGCCTAGCGCCCAAAAACGTATCATCCGCGAGTTCATCAACTCCATTTCTGCCGCCGACCACCAGCCCCCGTCGGTTTCTGATTGGTGGAAAACCGTCCAACTCTACACCGACCAAACCGGTTCCAATATCTCTCGGTCGGTCCGGCTTGGTGAAGAGAAAAACGACCGGTTACTATCTCACGGCAAAACCCTCACCCGTCTATCAATCCAGTCTGTGATAAAATCCGCCGTGACGGCCAAAACAAAACCATTGCCAATCCATCCCAAGGGTGGGCTATACCTGTTACTCACCGCCGACGACGTATACGTTCAGGATTTCTGCCAGAACGTTTGTGGGTTTCACTATTTTACATTCCCGTCGATTGTAGGGTACACGTTGCCGTACGCTTGGGTCGGAAATTCTGCAAAATTGTGCCCAGGTGTGTGCGCGTACCCTTTCGCCGTACCGAACTATATCCCCGGTCTGAAACCGTTAAAATCACCGAACGGCGAGGTGGGGATCGATGGGATGATTAGTGTGATAGCTCATGAGATAGCGGAGCTAGCGTCGAATCCACTGGCAAACGCTTGGTACGCCGGTCAAGACCCTTCGTTCCCGGTGGAGATTGCCGATCTATGCGAGGGAATTTACGGGACCGGTGGTGGTGGGTCCTACACAGGACAGATGTTGAACGATCGAGATGGTGCCACGTATAATATGCATGGGATCCGACGGAAGTACTTGGTGCAGTGGATATGGAACAATGTGGTAAATTACTGTACTGGCCCCAATGCGCTTGATTGAACGGAGGGAGTATATTTCGGTTTGTGTATGGTGTTTTGTGGGGCTGTTTAGACTTTTTGCTCATTTGAGTCTTTTTTATTTACGTGTTTGTTAATTATTTTCATTAATGTATAATTAATGAAGTTAATTAGTTTTATGCTTTGTTAATCATTATTCCACAAAATTTAGTAGTGGTAAGATTTGCATACGGTTTGTGTTTCCCGCCATAATATTGGTGGGGGGACCTGTTTGTGAAGTTACCATATTACCCTTGCAATTGTCTAGATGGAAAACCTAAATATTCCTCCCATCATTGAAAAATAAAGATAAAGTGTGTCAATGATTTTTCAAGTTATAAAATTATATACATCAATAATATAAATGTATTTTTTTAATAATACTTTTTATATAAAATAATTTTACATTAATTTAATAATTTATATTATTAGACAAGTTTGACCAAATATGTTGGCTTTTTCGGGCTTGATTTATTTACACTGTATAATATTAGAATTGAATACTGTAATCTGTAACAGTTTAAGTCTTTGTTTGTTGTACTTTTCTCGTACTTTAGTTGCAAGATCAATAAGGAGCGTTCGATTGTGCCATCATTAATGTCGTCTGTTGTAAGGTACAAAGTTTTATGAGCTCTAATTTGTTTCGGTTATATTTGGATATCGTTGTCGGAAAGTTAAGATGTTACAGTAGCTTAATGAAGCTTACGTTTGAGTTTTATGGTTAATAATAGTAGAACATAAAACTGTTAAATGAAAATCGTTAAATTTGAACTGATTACTTAAGGTACTATTGAAGTTGATAGGTTTGAAGAAGAGAAGTCACGTATTTACCACACGAGTCTATAGAGAATGTAAAGTACGATTTGCTCATCTAGGAGTAGTCACAGGTTTATCAAGGCTATTTATTACATTTGTTATGCTTGCTGATATGAAGTTGTTATCACACTGATAAATCACATGTTGTTTGTTTAATCGTCTAGGGTTGTTATCTAAATTTCATCTAACATTTATTAATATGACACAAACTCTCATTCTTTTACAAACTTATAAAACAGTTTTCACGTGTGAGTGTTTACACAATGTTGTTTCATACACGACACTTTCAAAACTGTCTTTTTTCCCAAACAAAACAGTTCTGAACGTTTCATATATGAAACAACACTGTATCTTTCATTTACGCATGAAAACTTATATCAGGTTTGTAAATTAGATATATCAGTATTTTGATCTTTGAACATAATTGTTGTGGAAATGTTAAGGGGACAACGGTAAAATAATTGAACCAGAAAAGATAAAAAGTAAAACCGAATTTGTCCTATGTGCAGTCGAAGCAGGGCATGTAAAGCCTTTTCCTTTTTGACTCACCTCTTCTATGTGAATGCATTTACAAACTTGTAACCTAAAACTCATTAATGTTACTTGATACCATTAGGTCAAAGGGTCAACCGTTTGATGTTTGCTCTCAAGGCTACCGTTCGGCATCAACGGCTTTCAACCTTCTTCGCTCGCCTTCTATGGTCAGCATTGTCGTTTGGTCATCAGAACGGACAACACGGCCAGGGTTCTTTCTTTTCGGTCAATGTTTTCCTGTTGTAGTTCGGTTGTTTGGTTAAACTCACCAACCCAATCCAGCCCTCATTAAGCTAAGGAAAAAAGTTGTTGGTCCAGTAGGTGTTGCCCATTTAAACAAAACAAAAAAAAGGGACATGATAGTACTATCGAGACCTGTCTATTCTGGACCCTTGTGTATATCTATTTGTATGTATTTATCTAAATCGTCCATGTGCTTAGGTGGCTCACCACTCCCTAGTCCCCACTCATGGACACCTTCTTTCATCAAACACATCATTCAATCCCAAAACCAGAAATGTCATCCAAGAAAGATTTTTGCGAAGTTTCTGCAAATTGATTCACTAAATTTTGGTAGTGTGGTATGGGTTAGCACCACCAATTATGGAAGTTTGGTAAGGGGCCTAATGACGGTGTCGTTTTTAATGGGGGCACAATGCATTTGTTTACGAAAAGCCACCAGAAAAGTTGATAAGACGACTACTAAAAGATCATGCTAGAGGGAGCAGAGTCCCACATTGACTAGAATCTGGACCATTTCTCCACTATAGGATTTGGATCATGGGCAATTTGTACTCGTCTAGCCCTCTCTTGATGCTCCGGGACAATCTGTTCCTATCTAGCCTCCGTTGGAGGGAGCGTGTTATAAGAGCCTCACATCGAGTAGACTTGGACCATTTCTACGCTCTATATGTTGGAACATCCTTTCTCTCCTCAAGGTTTTTTCTGGAGAGTAACCTAATAGGGTTCCACATATTTTCACAAATCAAGACCCCCAAAGCCTAGGTTTTTCAACCGAAAGATAAATTGTTTATCATTTGCAAACTAGCTCCATGGATACATGGGCAAGAAGAATCCAAGTATTGTGCAAACTAGCTCCATGGATACATATAGTTGTATATGTTTGTGGTTGAGAAGGCAATAAATGTGCCTACTGATGTTCTGATGAACAGTCAGTTATTCACATCATGCAAATGTAAACTGATTTGATTAGATCAAAATTTTCACTGTGCAAGCCAATACCAAGGGTCAACAGGCCATGTGATGACCCATATCCTAAGGTTCATGAGACCATCAATGTTTCAAGATTTTAGGAAATCAGTACAATTAAAGGGAGTAGACCAGAAGAAAGCAGACATCGTAAATGGAAAAGTTGGGTTTTCTGGAGCTGATTGTTTCATGCAACTGTTTTCCCATTCTTTAATGCAAGATAAACACGATTATGTTGAGAAAGCTACGAATACGTACCTGATCATTATGAGCATGACTAGCGAAGTCTGGAAATGGTTAGTGAAGCACAGGTCTCTGCATCCATTAATGTCATTTATAAATTGCAATACATCTTCCAACTCATTCACCCTTGCAAGACTTGCAAATGACTCAAATATAGGAATCTTTCAGAATCCATGCCTTGGATATGACTTGCAAATGACTCAAATAGCCATTAAGAAAGACAACCTGTAGGCAGATTAAATTATATAGGACCATGAACAATAACTTCTATAAGTTTCTAATTTAATATCAGTATCATACATATTTATCCAATCACCCGCATTACAAAGAAGTCCAGGGAGAACAAAGTTATGACTCCCAAAAGATATAAATACAAGTTTACATATGAGATCAACTTGAGCTGTTGGGGTTCTCGTTTTCCAGGTACTTGGACACTCCGTAGACAACTGTTCCCGCGACAAACAAGAATACAGTTGGGGTAAATGATGGATATAGATATTTCACAAAGAAATTATCCCATTCCTGTGGAAGGAAACCTGTGCGAACAAAGAATGAAATAAGTCACATACCACAATCAATATAAAGTCATGCTATTGGCTCCAGCAAACTAAGCACTAGGTTCAGGCTTAAGCAGGTAATGGCAAATGGCATTTGCAATTTTACTCGTAGACATCTGGCTTGTGAAAACAATGTTGTTGAATAAAAGTTGTCTTCATAAATATACTGGCATTAACACAAAAAAGCTCTGGTGTTTTTAAGTCACAGGTTACAGTCAGTTTGTGGTAGCTTCAGTACGCGGATGCATTTACTACATAGCACAGTTTGTGTATGTAGATGTCTTTCAGTTTGTCTCCTCATATGCACCCTTTGACATAACCGTAAAGCATGTCATATATTGCTTTATAAAGGCGAGCTATTGGCAATTTATTATTAAGTGCAACATTTCTAGCCTCATCCTTTCATAAGTTCTTGTTCCCAGTACATTTTTTTACCGAACTTAAATTTATAAAAATCCTCTTGGCACATCAATTGTCAAAGTCAAAGTTTGTCAGCATAACATGTGATTGCCTTGAATTGTTTGAAAAATCAGAAGACTTTATGGTGAAGAAGCAGCCAACTAGGCTTCATCCAAACCGTAATGTCATTGGTTTGGCTCTTTTCCATGCGCCCTTAATGATTTTCTGCCATGCCAATAATCTGTGGCACTATAAAACCGTCACTTGAGCTTGTGGAGGTTCAAACAAGAACACCTCCATTTTACGAGAATGCAAAAACACTTTTATCACATGTGATAATACACATGAGGGGACCTGGTGGTGTGCGGATGTCATGCCCTGTGACTTAGGTCGTGCCAAAGGTCGTCTACATCTATGATTTAGTATTACATGTGATGGTCTTGATGGATTATAGTATCACATCAATAACACCTTTACCACATGTGGTAATAAATGTGAGGGGGCTTAGTGGTGTAAGGGCGACTTGGCCCGGAACCTAGATGGCGCCAAAAGTTGTCCGCATCTTTGATTAAGTGAATTATTTTCATGCACTAGAAATGCCAGATTATCAAAGATCTGTAAAGAGCTGTTCAGTACTATCTTCACAGGTTGTAACTTGTAATGACAGGAGCTTGCACAGAAGAGGCAAATGTAGGGATATGATGCAACTGTGCAGTAAAGTTACATGAACCCATGATGTCAAAATTATGCAGAGGTTTCTAGTTATGAATAATACTTCAAAAAACTGAAAGATCCTTCATAGTGGCATCATTTGCATGTTATCTAGAGAGTCACAGGATGTGTTCTTGATTAATTTATAATTTTAGATGAGGCCCTTGACATCATCATGCTAAAGTTCAAGTTGGAAGGAGCCTAAAATACTTTGTTCTCTGTTTAGACAATCCGACACATAAAAAACCGTACTCTAATTGATGTAGGAAACTAGAGTTTGCCTATGACTTTTGACATTCAAATGACTACACATTCAACTTTAAATTGATGTAGGAAACTCTATATTTACAACTTACAACAAAGCATAAAATAAATATTAGAAACAGAAAATACAGTAGAATTATGTTGCTATCCTTTTTGTATTCTTTACTCTTCATTTCCTTCATATTGTTGCTTTTGACCCTAAAACCTGGTTTAAAATCTTGGATATGATCGCTTTTAGATTGAGAGTGTTACCCAAGTAGTAAATATGGTTTGTTTAACAAATATTTTTCCAAAAGATCCTTGGGCTATTTAGTTTCACTGCACTGAATAGATGTCACTGTTACCATAGAAGCCAAAAGACATTTCAGTATTTGTTAGGTATAATCAAGAATCCAAGATCTCCTTCTCAACATATGGTTGGAGAAAAAATTTCTAATAATGGTTTTCATTAGTACTACTTGAGTTGCTAACGGGAAACATTTTGGTTTGTATCAACTTGGATACATAGGTACGTACACTCCAAGGCAACAGACTTGAAGTTATGGTTCTCAACTGTATATTGCAGGCTTCGTGTGAATGTCTGGTGTTTGGGAGTGTGGTCATGAAGAAAAAACATAGCCACGTTGTTCCATTTACAGTTTTCCTGTCTTGCAGGTTTCATAGTGGCCCATGTTACATAGATTTTACAGCTTTCTGTAACTGTAAGCAGGAATCATTGTCTGTCTGTGAACAAGTTCTTGTATAAGCATGTGAATGCTTATGGAATAACTTGTACAGTATGCAATCATACATGATGAACCTCTTAGTCGTACAAGTTGGGAAGTGCAAGTAATAATGGGCTGCAAAAGGCAATACCTTGCTAGAACATAAGACATTAGTATGATTTGCTTTCTCCCCTCTGGTTCTCTTTTCAGCCTCATTTTGCGTTTACAAACACATATTGTGTCCCCTGGTGTTTCTTTCCCACGTTAAAAAAGTTTGCCATGTTAAGATTCAGGAGGAAACATTTACTTAAAAAACCCTAGTAGCACTAAGGTGGTGCGGTAGTTTTTCGAGCAATAATTCGGGTCAGGAATTAGAATTGAAGCTGAACTTGGCTCAAACTTTATCCGGTTACAAGCCAAATAATTGGAATTGAAACATGCCATTAATCGAGAACAAGCAAAAAATTGAATTTCCTAAGATAAGACACGGAACTCTCCTAAGTTTTAATATACCTGAAGCAGCAAGAGCAATCCCTTCAACAATAATAAGCGAACCGAGCCCTAGCCAAGTAAGAAGAAAAGCACGCTCATTACTGCCTTGTTGATTCGCTTCCTCTCCCCCTCTTTGTGGTTGAGAAACGAATTTAGGGGTTTCAACCGGAGCTCGTCGTATAATGGAAGCTCTCTCTTTCTTCCCTTTCTGTTTCTTCCTTGTAGTATTACTCAATGGAGACGATGAAGAATCGGAAGATGAGGAGCCAAACCCTATGGGCGATGATGTGTTGTCGGTTGATTGAGTAGGTTCTGTTGACGATGAGTCGTTCTGTGCTTTAATGGCGGTGAGATGGTGAGGATAATGATGCTTTTGATGGAGATGTAAACAGGGTTTGTTGTTGGAAACGACGAAGGTTGAAGATGAGGGGAAAATTAGCGCCATATCCTGGTTTTGTTCGTTAAGCCTCTCTTTTTTTGCCATTTGTATATTTCTGTTTTTTGTACTCATCATATTCAATTTAATTTAATTAACTACAAATTAATAATTAAATAAAAGTTTAGAGCATGTGAACAGAGAAATAAAGATTTTAATAATTTAGGAAGAAATAATTTCTTTATCTATATTACTTTATAAATCAGATTTGACAAAAGCCTTTAAAATAATTTTTAATGTACAAAGTACTATACATTTATGGACAAGGTCTTAAAAGTCTTAAAAACAACTTATAATGCATTAAGTACTACTATTTTATGCATTCAGTCTTAAAATATCTTAATCTACAATTAAAATAACATATAATACAAGTTACCAATGCATATTATTACTTTTTCTTTTCATGTTTCCAAGATACTTTTGACACATTTCATTCATATCTTCACCCTGTCATACCTCTATGTCTTATCCTCATCCCCAAGATGATATTCAAACTAATTAATATTTACCATGAGTTATTAAAAGTTTTCTCATTCATCTACCTTTCAATTGCTCTAAAACTCTCGGTCTTGCTCTTGATATCTTGATTCTTTGCTCTTTATGTAAATCAAACATATTTGTGAAGTCGTTTAAATATGTTAGATTTTAAACTGTCATACAAATTTTTTCATCGATAAACTGTAATTGGAATCATAACCCTTATTTACTCAAATTATATTAATATGTAAATACCAAATATAACTTATATCATCGTTAAATATTCTCTAATAAAACCAGTGAAATTTCAAAATCGTTAAAATTCACAACTCCCGTCGCATTGCACGGTTACGCAACTAGTTATGTTTTACAAACAAAAAATAATTAAATTAGATGTTTAACATAAAAAACAATATATTATTAAAAGGGTGTTTGAGATTGCTTATAAAAATAATTTATTTCGATGCAACACCGATAACAAACACTTTTGAGTGTTTTCTTAAATAATTTATATCGATGTCAAACCGATAATAAAGAGTTTTGAAGAAGTTATATTCTTCGGATTTATAATAACTTGATAAATGTTTTTTTTTTTTGAAAAATTTACATAAGTAATCCCAAAGAGACGATAAAATTCCCTTAATCGAACTCAGGATTTGAATAAACCTCTGTTTTATGATCTCCGCTTCCCGCGAAAATCTCTCCCCTTCTGTGTTCTGAAACCTTCCCAAAATGAAACCAAATTTGATCCAAGATCTACATCGATAAAACCTAGAAATCATCATCTTCTTCAAATACTTGATACTAAAGATCACACTCACATAAAGCAGTAAAGAACAGGATTCTCTCCATTTAATGTCACTCCCACAACCTTCATCAGAATCCGAACAAACATCGAATAATTCCTTTGATGATGGTAATCGAACGTTTCATCGTAATCATCAAAGATCACGTTCACTCGCCAAATTGAGGAAAATTCCTCCAATTCCGATTCGTCGGATCCGCACCATGGCTGAAATGAGGCCAAACAAGAATGGAGACGGATTCGACGATGATAGAAAAGGTAAGGAAGATTATGATCGTCAAACGGACGAACCTGATTTACTCGATGCTGCTTCTCTTGGCCTAAATCCAATTCGCAGTCGCTCCTCTTCTTCGCATCATAGGGTTGATTCTACTGCTGGTACAGCCTCGAAATTGGATGCCTGTGATACAGATAAGATCGCAAATTTTCCCTTGGGCAAAGTGCACACATCGGAAGAGCCAAAATCCGATCCAGGTCACATATTACTCTTCCTAGATAAGATATGTATGACTTTATATGCTACGGAATGTATTGTTCATCTAGGAGTTGGGATTACACACAATAGTAGCATCTTACTCAGAAAAAGAATAATGTAATGCTTGTAACGCGTATATCCATGACAACTTTTATCAGATTTTGTTTGGGCTTAAAAGTAATTATTCAACTCCTGTATTAGATGCAACTCTTGATCATTATGAATGCTTTTTTTGTGCAGGCAAGAAGGTATCCTGGGGCCATTCTAACTCCTTGCAAGTACAACTATCATCTGGTGCTGGAGTGGAGGTAAGTGTATGGTTTATAGTTCTTAATTTAAGTTTGTTTTGGTTTGGTTTATCTCTATAATATGTTTATTTTCCTAGATTTATACTTAGTTACAGGAATAAGTGGTTCTTACTGATTTTATTGTGCTGATTCTAGGGCAATAATGAGGCCTTCGCCAAGGAAATACAATCTCCAAGGTTCCAAGCCATACTGCGTGTCACAAGTGGTCGTAAAAAGAAAGTTCCTAATATAAAGAGCTTCTCTCATGAACTCGATTCTAAAGGAGTGCGGCCTCTGCCATTTTGGAAGCCTCGTGCATATGGGCACGTGGAGGTAGCTGCTCATTTGAATAATTATTCCCATGTTCTTTCAAGTTCATTATCTTTTCTGGCATCCTTATAATGCAATTCTGTTATGCAAACTTTCAACATGTATCAACTTCAGGAGATCATGGTAATGCTCAGAGGAAAGTTTGAAAAGTTGAAGGAAGAAGTCAATTCTGACCTGGGTGTCTTTGCTGGAGATTTGGTGGGGATACTTGAAGAAACTTCAGAATCTCAATCAGAATGGAAAGATATGTTGGAAGACTTGTTAATTTTAGCCAGGAAGTGTGCAAAAATGACATCCAATGAATTCTGGTTGAAGTGCGAAAGCATTGTTCAGACTCTGGATGATCGTCGCCAGGAGTTACCTATGGGTATTCTCAAACAAGTCCATACCCGTCTCTTATTCATACTCACTCGATGCACTCGACTTGTGCAGTTCCACAAGGAATGTGGGTATGAAGAAAGCCACCATATTTTGGGTCTTCATCAGCTTAGCGATATTGGTGCATATACAGAAACTGTTACAGAGCCTACATACCAAAACTTCAATAGATCGAAAGGAAAAACAGAAGTTACTGAGGCACAAGCTGACAAGCCACATGAAGGGGATGAGGAACAAGATCAAGAAAACATAAATTTAGATGTGGAGGTTGAAACTGCAGAAGGTGTTACTTCATCCACTGGTAAAAGGATGTCATCTTGGAAGAAGCTTCCATCTCCAGCAGAAAGGAGTCACGTAGACCATAATGCTGTTGACATTCCATCAAAGGATTTATCCGATCATTTGGAAGTTAAAGACAATCATATCTATAATCTGGATACCCCGTTGTCTCCTGAGAATTTAGAGACAACTTCAAAAGTAAGGAGAGTTACATTTGGAGTTTCAGGAGGGCAACATCAATTGACTTATGAGAGTTCATTAATATGCCGTATCTGTGAAGTTGAAATACCCACTGTACATGTCGAACAGCACTCTAGAATATGCACTATTGCTGATAGATGTGATTTAAAAGGTCTGAGTGTCAATGAAAGACTTGACAGAGTTGCAGAAACTCTTGAAAGGATCATTGATTCATGGACACCTAAAAGTGCAGGCATGACAGTTGGAAGTCAAGAAGGTGTTGGAATATCTCCGACAGATATACCTGATGACTTGGACAAGTTATCACCTAAGAACCACCGGCTGTCACGTGAATGCTCCGGAGACCTACTAGAATGTGTCCATGAGGCTGACACTGCTTTTGTTGCAGAAGACTTCCACACTTTGCCTGACATTACTTGCAGCACACGTGGGACTTCGATACCTGTTGTAGGTCCAAAAGCCTTATCGGCTGGATGCTTGACTCCTAGATCACCTCTACTGACACCAAGAGCGACTCAGATTGAAACATTCCTGAGTGGAAGGAAATCCCTGTCCGAGCATGAAGACTGGCAGCAGGTAGTGATATTACATTATTATTAACAAATTCCAAATTTTATGGAATGTAAGGCTAAAAATCGACTTCATGCTTTAAACAATGAAGCAAAGCATTCTGAAAACTGAAGTCTGTCAACAGGTGAATTGACCCATTTGCTTAGACAGCCTATTAAGAAATAGATGTTCATTCAACTATATGGAAATTTAGAAGCGGATACATATATTAGTTTCTCTATCAGTTCTATATATGGTTTGTGTTCAACTCATAGATTTATGTGTAGATAACCTGTTTGTAAGGATGCAAGAATAGGCTTAGGTGGATGGCCATAATCCAGATGATGGAGGCATAAGATAACTGAAAACTGGTAAACAAGCGGGGAGTGGCTTATCGATATCTCAACTAACATGCCTGGAGGCATAAAATTTGTTGCTATGTAAGCCAAAATTCAGATACTGAAGTTCTTGAATGACCCTCTAATATCATGAATATGCACAACTTGAGGTCATCCATGTGGGCATCAATCTTTGTAGAAACTTTGGGTCCGTTAAGCGCATTTGATATAACAGTAGATTTTTTTGGGTAACTGTGGGTACCCAGGACAGCTTACGCTCACAGACTAATCCCCGGACCACGAATGGCCTGGAGTCAACAAGGTGAACCTCCATGGCCGCAAGGGCTTTGGCCATATGCGGGTTTGAACCTAAGGAAGATGAGATTTCCACTACGTCCCATGAGTCTTAACCAGTGCGCCACAACCCAAGTGGTTTAGTAGAATGATACTGTAGGTCTTAGACTTCGCTGTGGACACTAGTTTTTCTGTATTGAGAGTTATATCCTGCCTCATTCTACCAAGTGTTTTTATTATTACGTAATAGAGCCATCTCTTGAACGTCTTGCCTGATACATATTTCTTCACTGCTGGAGTGACAAAATATAGGAACAACTAAATTCTTTTCATTTAAGCCCTTGTTCTGCAGTCTTATTCTTTTTCTTAGCCATGTTTATGTTAATTATCCTCTTACTCTTTCTCTCTCGTCCTACAACAATGTCATCTATTATTTTTTTTTTCTTTTTTATCAAGGTGCTAAAACATCCCCATCGAATGACAGATGCACAAGCTATTGGAAATTGCTCGATCCCTGGCCCGCATGAACACTAATGACTACAGTGCATTGGATTTCATGCTTGAGCGTTTAAAAGACCTCAAACATGCTATCCAGGACAGAAAGGTGGATGCTCTTGTTGTTGAGACTTTTGGGAGACGTATTGAGAAACTATTACAGTGAGTCTCTCTATGCACGTAACTTACCAATGCACTGCAAAGTTCAGTATTTCGTCTGCTCCAAGAATAGTGAGACAATGTAGAGGTTAAATTTGAAATAGTATGATCTAAAGCTAATTGGAAATTGTTAAACATGTGAAAACAATAACTATGTCAGCTAATACTCATTTTTAAAAGACCTTGCAAACTGTATCAATCTTCAAATATAGGTTCTCCGAACTGAACCCCCAAATGGAAGATGCATCATCAATTTTGGGATGTAGGAAGTACTGTATTGTGGGCATGGTTGGGATGACCTTGGCTGTTTTATTTTACTTGTTGATATGTGCCTATCTCTAAATACACTGGCATTCCTTCCTGCACCCATGACAGGGAAAAATACGTACTTCTTTGTGGGATGATAGAGGATGAAAAAACAGAATCAACAAGTAACATGGTCTATGAAGATAGTCCATTAGGAGAGGACACGGCTCGTAATCTGCGGGCTAGCCCTGCAAGTTCGTACTCTAAGGATCGGACGTCTATTGAAGACTTTGAAATAATAAAACCAATTAGCAGAGGTGCATTTGGACGAGTTTTTTTGGCTAGGAAAAGGGCAACAGGTGACGTATTTGCAATAAAGGTAAGGGCTTTATATCCCCAAAAGTAATTGAACCCTCATGAATGTCGTTTCTTTCAAGAGAGATCTTTAGATTTCCCAAGCGCTTGTGTCAGCAGTAATGTTTGCCTCTTGGTAACATAATGTCTTTCTATTACCTGTCAAACAATAGACACCGTTTAGAGCAATCTAGTAATTGCACGGCTTACATGAAAACTTAACTTCAAAGTCTTGGAGCCACTGGATACCAATTATTATTTGCTACCTTCTGATATGAGTCTTGCCTCCCACTCTTCATTTCAACATGTAAATGTGGTCTTGTCCGTTGCCTTCATAGACTTGAATAACTTTATATCTATATTTCATTGCAAGAGTTTGTAGAACTGGCTTAGTCATAAGCTTTTGGCATTGCGTGATTCATCTTAATGTTGAGACTTGTTAGATGCGTTGTTTTCTTCCTATTTACTTACTAGATTGCATCACACTTATCTCCTAATTTCCATCTAAAAATTCAATTCTTAACCTAAAATAACATATTTTGGAAAAGTATTGCAGGTTTTAAAGAAGGCTGATATGATTCGTAAAAATGCAGTTCAAAGCATTTTGGCTGAGCGTGATATCCTGATATCAGCTCGCAATCCTTTCGTGGTGAGTAGGTCACACATGCTAATTCATTCAAGTGGAACTTTCTTGTGCTTTTAACTTTAGTTTACCATTTGACATGAACAGGTACGGTTTTTCTACTCCTTCACATGTCGAGAAAATCTATATCTGGTGATGGAGTATTTAAATGGAGGAGATCTTTTCTCTTTGCTTAAAAATCTAGGTTGCTTAGAAGAAGACATGGCACGTGTATATATTGCAGAACTTGTGAGTGATTTGCCTTTACTTTTATTAGTTCTTGCCACTTGCCAGCATGCATCTATTTTAGTGTCTAATGCATTAGTGTTTGATTTATATTCTGACTGATGACTTCAGGTTCTTGCATTGGAGTATTTGCATTCTTTGAATGTCATTCATAGAGATTTGAAGCCAGACAACTTGTTAATTAGCCGAGATGGCCACATCAAGGTCAATGTTTCCTTTGTGTTTATGATTGTGATGACAGTACACAATATTTTTTTGACTTGAACAATTTTTTCCATTCCCTTTATAGTAATTAATTGCTGAATTTTCCCTTAAACATTCAACTAGCAAGAAAAAGGAAGTGAATTTTTTCAGATGTGTCTACATGTTACAGACATCTCATGGATGGTGCCCCCTGAAGGAGGGAAGAGTTGTGTGCCTTCTGCTATATTGAAAAGATATAATGTTTTGTAGCTTAATCAGATGATAGTGCTACTATCATACCTTGTTCTATGCTTCATTTTGCCAGGCACTATTATTGAACATCTAAATCAATCATGGACTACTTTGCCTTGTTATGATTATCAATGGACATGTTTTCTCATCTTACAATTCTAATTCGTCTTTTTTACAGCTAACAGATTTTGGGCTATCCAAGGTTGGTCTCATAAACAGCACGGAGGACTTATCAGGGTCATCAACCATCAGGACTGCTATCTTTCAGGATAACGAAATCAAGACAGAGACCACACCTTCAGTAAATAGAGAGCAGAGGCAAAAGCTTTCAGTTGTTGGCACCCCTGACTATTTGGCACCGGAAATACTTCTTGGCATGGGACATGGTTAGAGATTTAAGTTTGTATTAGATACTGCATAATTTACAAATAAAAACTTATACAACTTTTTCATTCTCTTTCATACTTGCCTTCCAATACCTTCCTTCTTGTAGGTGCAACAGCTGATTGGTGGTCTGTTGGTGTTATTCTTTTTGAGCTACTTGTAGGGATTCCACCTTTTAATGCAGGATCTCCACAAGTATGTTCTCTCAGAAGAAAAAATCTGCATACATTTTGTTGCAATTATCTTCAAACCACGATGGACTTATCTTCTCCATAGAAGTACCTAACCAAGGTTTTCATTTGCAATAAAAACATTAGTGATACCTTTAATCATAGCTGGGCATTAAGTCACTATTTGTGCATCTAGTTGGATTTGCCACATGATATTTCAAGTTAACTAATGAACATGAGTTGCCTACCAGTTTCTGCCCAAGCAATTCCATTTTATGTTTTTGTTGCAATTTCTGGTATTTAAATATCTACTAGCATTATTTTTGTTAGAGTAGGTGGGGCAAAGAGTGGAAGTTGCAGTTTCTGATACTATAGCATGCCAGTATTATGAATAAGATGCTGATCTTTTAGTGTTGATTTCTCTTCTGGCAATGCTGCAATGACAAAACTTGGGACAAGCTATCACCACCTGAAAGCACGAGACATAACTCTTGTGCCATGGCCCGTGAGTGTTGGCAACTAGACTATATGAGACATGCTGAACACACACATTCTATTGATTCAAGGAGAAAATACCAAAGGCTCAGAAATACGAGGAATAATTCTGAAGGCTTCTAAGCTTCTTAGGTGGCCAGATGTAATCAGAACTTCAGCATGGAGTTTGCAATGAAAAATGGGCACAGATCACACTTGAATCATAACAAAGCTCAAAACACAACCAAAATAATCAATCTAGTTCCCAATAGCAACTAGTGGTCACAAAACCCAGATCTGAACAAAGAAGTGGAATATGGATGAGTTCTAAACTTACATATAGTCTACAAACATCTAAACATGGCAAACAATATATAGCGCATCAAAAGTAAGCAGGGAGAGAAGTGTACACTAGAACGGGAACGACCACGAGCTGAGAGAATCCACTATAACGATGTAGCTACAAGATTAACTGGGCATTTACAATGAGGGAAGATTAATGATGTGTGTGAACAAAGGAAGTTATGCTATCACAGGGTTATAAATATTTGAGCCCTATTTTGGCTGTAAGAGCATCTACAACAGCTATGCTATTTTATAAATTTTAGAGATTTGGTAAATGTTTGCTCTAACAGCTATGCTAAGCTCTCATCTAAAGTAGAGAAAAATAGGAGGGAGAAAGGAGAAATCTGCAAATTTGGTAGAAGAGAAAATATTGCATACCTGTTGAAGATGCTCTAAAAACTCATCACCTGTCCAACGCGACTTTTAAGGGACCTGGTAGGTCGTGCAACATCTCTCTCGTTCCAGATTCACTGCCGTATGCGACTTGAGAAGTCGCGCAGACTTGAAGGTGTGACTATAGGAGTCGCTGTGAACCCACTTCAAATCTGCTGTAGCTTTTCCTCTCTTCATTGCAACTTGTTTGGGGACTTGGAAGTCACATCGAATTCGCATGCAGCAGCAGGGGTGAACTAGGAAATTTTTTTAATTGTCAAGCTGTGGTGCTGGACCAATGCTTACACAATTCCTCTAAGGGATCAACCATCTTTTCATTATATTTTGGCTTTGTTTATAATGTTTGGTTAATGGTTATGGATAGGGGTGTAAACGATACGAGACAACTCGCGAGCTACTCGAGATCGACTCGGTCAAAGCTCGGTCAACACTCGACTCGAATAGGCTCGACTCGAACTCGAGTTCGACTCGACATACTAACGAGTCGAGTCAAGCTACCCAATACTTGACTCGAAAGCTCGTGAGATACTCGATTATTTTATATATAATTAGTTTTAAAGTATATAATCAGGTTTTATGATAAAATATGTAAAATATAAATAATATAAATGCCTTATATTTTTAGATATTTAAACAATTAAAAAAAGACAAAGAAAAACTATAAAAAAAGTTAGTGAAGTTGTCCCACATTGGAAGATAGATGGTAAAGGAAGAAAGAAAAGATGTTATAAAAAGAGAGGAAGATGAATGCAATTTTCTAACTTTGTCTTTTTGATGATGAAGTTTGAAGTTGATCTCTTTATTTTTATAAAAACTAAGAGAACACTTTTAAGTTTTAAAATTTATAAGAGAAAGACCCTAAGTTTTATAAATTTCAATGAGTGAGTTTGGTTCGAGCTTGATTCGAGTTCGAGTTCGAGCTTGATTCGAGCTTAGTTCGAGCTCGAGTTCGAGTTCGAGCTTGAGAAATAGTTATCGAGTTCGAGTYGAGCTYTGATTTTTACTACTCGTGAGTTTTCGAGTCGAGTTCGAGCTTGGAAATTCGGTTTCGAGTTCGAGTCGAGTATAGTGATACTCGAGCTCAACTTGAATCATTTACACCCCTAGTTATGGATGCGACATTGAGAGGTTACCATGATATGAATTGGCTAGGTTTCTTATTGCAATCTCTTCTGTGAGGCTATGTGCAACAGTAAGCCAAGCCTTTGAAACACTTTGATTGCATGCCCCAGTCACTTTTAAGACCTGTGTTTAGGTGAATTTAGGCAATAATAAGTATTTAAAAATAAACAGGAAGGCCATCAATCAAGTTGGCATTAATTAATTTGCTTAAAGTGCTTTACCATGTTCACTCCCCCCCTCCTCCTTGTTTCAATCATAAATTGCCTCAAAGGGTGTGACTGAATAATGAATACTCATATGCTTAGGACCTTGAGGCTGTAAGCTTCCACAACTTCTTTCTATTACCTCTACAGTTTTGCTGTTGTCTTTGGATCAATGAACGAGTTACATTTGGAACAAGGGCATAATATGAGTGGCAAAATGATTACAAGCATTAGAGCAAAAGGAGAAAAAGCCTCTATAAGCATCACTCACCTGGAAAAAGCATTATTTGCAAGTTGCAAGAACAGGATCATAGGTAATCGGCTGTAGAGCTGACAATCATACTTATAGGTTTAGTTGAGAGCGATATATTTATCATGGGTCCTGTTTCTGTTTATAGTTGTTAAGTTGTTATACATAGGCAAGGTGCCCTGATAATTTGGAGTACACATGTAAATATTGGAATATGCTCCGAGGTTCCAGGCTACTGGAGATGAATACCCAATATTTGAGCACATTTCTATGAACCTAATGATTTATTACTTCTGTTCAACAATGGGTGTACCTGAACATGAGTTGTTCTACTTTGTTGCAGCAAATTTTTGCCAACATTATGAATCGAGAAATACCCTGGCCTGAGATACCTGAGGACATGAGCTATGAAGCATATGATCTGATAGACAAGTAAGTTTCATGGGGTTTTTATTCAATAAAATGTTGTTCAGAAGTGATATCAAGAAATCTTCATTTTCTGTTGCAAAGTTTTGTGCTGCATGTTATTTTTTTTACATTCCATATCTAGAAGAACATGGAAATGACCAACAAAAGGAAAGTAGAAAAGAATTGATAATTTTTTAGTCAATTAGGATGCAGAGAGATGTTAAGTATAAGGATTCTGGTTAAACCCAATTAGTTAGTGAATCAGAACACTAATTTTTCGCTTCATCTCAGGTTGCTGATTGATAATCCACTTCAACGCCTAGGTGCAACAGGGGCTGGAGAGGTAAAATCATCTCTAAATGTGACATTTTATGCAAAAGAAACCAATAAACTTTTGTGCTTTACTAACAGGTGAAAAGGCACCCTTTCTTTACGAATATCAACTGGGACACCCTTGCAAGGCAGAAGGTCATTGGATCATTCCATTTGTATAAGTATATGAAGAATAGTTTGGTTAGTAATTGAAATTATTTAGCAACTATCTCAAGTGTTTCATATTGCAGGCAGCATTCATACCATCTGCTGAAGCACTTGATACCAGTTATTTTATGAGCCGATATATATGGAATCCAGAAGATGAACATATTGATGGAGGTAGCGATTTTGATGATATGTCTGAAGCAGATAGCGCATCTTGTGGTGATAGCTCACACAGCAACGTGGTGGATGAAGAGGTATTTACCGACAGAAGTTAATTTTTTCTGCGTATTGAAGGACAGAATAACTGCTAAAAACATCTTAAATTTGAACCAGAACTTATCGATCATCAGATCTCATATGCAGAACACACTATATCACAAATTCATATATCTAGTACAGCTATTTAGCCTGCTAAATTAACATAAAGGGGTTTAATCTACTTGTTTTGTTACTTGACCAGGGCGATGAATGTGGTAACTTGGCAGACTTTGGTGCTCCACCTCCTAATGTCAGTTACTCGTTCAGTAATTTCTCGTATAAGGTTTGGCTTGCTCCTCCAGCTGCGTGTTAATCAGAAATGGGAACGTATGTTTCAAACTTGTTAGAATCCCATGTCGACTAGACTAAACTAGACCAGACCGTTTCTCCTCAATATCTAGTGAAACCTCACTTTTCTCCAAAAAGAACTCTTCTGGAGAGTAATATAGAGGTTCCGCATAACCTCACATGATATCAAAGCTACCACTCTCCGGCAATCTATGCCCGTTTATCCTCTACTGGAGGTGGTGTGTTAGAATCTCACATCAGCTAGACTTTGACTATTTATGCTCGGTATATGTTGGAACCTTACTAAAGGGCTCTTTTGGAGAGTAATTTATTGGGGTTCTACATATTCTCACATAATACGAACATGATACATTTAATTTTGATTTTATCATCAGAATTTGTCTCAGTTGGCTTCCATCAACTATGATTTGCTTATAAAGAGTGCTCAAGAATCCATAGAAGGTTCAAAACCAGATGAGTCATGACCATATATCACAAACATAGTAACTCTGCTTTGGCCAATTCATGTCTTCCGGCTTCGCAACGGAAGCTAGCGAAGTTTTGGACCTGGATGTGCTTCAGTTGGCCGCTATTTCCACTCAACAAAAACAACGCATTCGTCGATCCTTCATCAGGGAAAAGAACACGATGAATGGTCGAAACTCGTTGTGGATAGTAGTTTAACTCATCAATCTTCCACAGTACAGGTTTGAAAAACCCTTTGTTTGAAGTGATAGAAAAATGAATATTTTTCTTGTAAATAGATGTTCATATTTTGTTTTTCAATCCTATTAACTGCATGATATTAGATCTCCAATAAAATCTACTGGACTTCTACTAGAAATTACTATATACATTCTGTTATTAATGTTCAAACCCAGGTGTAAACAGCACGCCCGTTCCCGGAATCCAACGGTTGCCCGACATGAACTTGGCAACTGTAAAACGGTATGCGATCTCTGGGTTCGTAATGGTATGATAACCACGCCATTTCACCTTATTACTCGTAGATGATCCTGGTTCGTAGTTATTGTATTCTCCACAATAAGTAGTTTTATTAAAACCCCAATTATCAAGCCACCCTTGTGGGATCCACCAAGTCATCAAGATAATTCAGCATATAAACGGTTAAACCGCGTGAAAACCATGGTCTTCCTAGAAATGCGTTTTTGTACCGATTGATTATGGGTTTAAGATCGGGAGCATCAGATATAGTACAGCCTTGCAAAGAATATCCGGTGGATTCTTTATGGTACTTCCGTCCATTGGCCGTCACCAGTGAGCCTCCTCCGGGAAGTGGTTCCCGAAGGAAGATCTCACAATCTTGGAAGATGGCAAGGGCATCGCCGAAAATAAAATCTACGGTTCCAAAGATCTGGAATTCTTTGTAGAATTGTTTATTATAAAATGCAAAACGAGTGTGTTTTGGTGGCCCTCGAAACTGCAGTGACAGAAGGCTGATTGGTCGGAGGCGGAGAGGAGTGCCACCGCTTGCGCTCCCTCTGGCCCGGCCGTGTTCCGGAACGTTGTATCTTGAGCGATAAATTCACGACCCCACACTTCTACATTCCATATTTTATTTTATGATTAAGTTTTAAAACAATTTTACTAATAAATAAACTATTGAATTTTTTAAAAATTAGTAACCTTATATTCTTTTAACAAAAAAAAAACTATATATAACTGTTCAATAGGTTTTAAAGTAAAAAAACCTAAATCATTTTATTCTTTCCAATCCTTATTCTATATATACATATATGATATCCTTATTTTCCTGGTGAAGCAGGCCCTCTTGGCCTTCCGTCGAGTAGAAGTGCTCATGAATTGTGTTGATCGGATTGAAGACATTTAAACAATCCAACTTGATGTTTGCGGTTTGAAAAATCCTAACCCAACCCAATCCAAATCAAAGTGCAGCCCAACCCAAAACCGTACGGGTTGGTCGGGTTAGTCGGTTAATCGGGTTGATATATTAAAATATTTTTCTGACTTTGAATATGTTATTTCTCTACTCATAATTTCTTTTTCATCATCAACCATTTGATATAACTTATTCATATTTTTTACATGTATCACATTCAGTAATTTTCTCAATTTACATATATATGTTGACAATTACTAAACATATATACGAATGAGTTATGTAGAGATGTGAATAGATTGAAAATGCGTGTATATGAAGAACATGCGTGATAGTGTAATTGTCTAATGTATATAGTAATGGAAGTTCAACAATCATATTAAATTCAAGAAATGAAAGGATATCGGGTTCATTGGGTTGGGTTCAAATAGTAGTAACGAATATTAACCCAATACATATGGTTTGAAATTTTTACAACTTGATTAGAAATCGGATTGTTTCGGGTTGAGTTATTTCACGTCGGGTTGGGTTGGGTTGATCAGGGTTTTGAGCACCCCTACCGTCGACTGATCCAACACCGGCCACCCATGTTCTTCGGCACCATTTTCTTCTCCGGTGAAACCCCACACCATAACTCCCCTTGCCCTCCCCCCTCCCCCCAATGCACATACAAAACACATAATATAAGCATTTCCCATAAACATACAGTTCCAAACACTTGTGTTGGTTTCAATCTACATCCATAGACAACCCATAGTGAAAATCAGTGACAAAACTCATTTTTGAATTCGAACCTTATAACTAAAACCATATGAAAACCATTGATTGAGAACCTTATAACTACACAAAAATGAACCAGATATGGATCGAGAGATTTGAAATGACGGACATATCTGGATGACAGAACGAGATGTGTGTTTCGTTGGTGGGGGTTTGCTAGGTGTACATTTCGCCGGAGACGGGGTAGGGAAGGAGGCGTTGGTTGTTGTTTATCTCTCGTAACTGTAATGGGTTGAGTCATGGGCGGACCTAGTTAGGTGCCATAGATAGGTGGCACGTGCCACCGTATCGTTTCTCCGCCGAAGGGTAAAAAATTTAGGTTTCGTGAACGGTGCAACCGTATTAATTTGTTGTGTGTCACCTTATGTATTTTGAAACTATAATGAGAACAAGTTTTATTTGGTAGAGTTGGTTTGCAAGGCTTTTATTCCACCCCACATCCAAATCTGAATCATGTTAGCGTCATTTTCTTAGTCAAACGGTGTCACCGTTTGAAAAAAAAAATCATATATTTTTTTTCTTATTGTCAAATGATGCCACCTTTTAAAAAAAATTCGAGGTCCGTCCTGACGGTGATGGAAGATATTGAGAAATTTTATTATACAAAATTAATTGGAAAATTAATATACATTTATTTTATGTATATGTGTATCCATCATTGGAAAATTTAGATTAAAAAAAAAAAAGTCCAAATTTGAATGTTCATCTAAACCAAATGAGATTCTGATTAATCAATTTCAGTTCCATTTTTTATTATATTTATATTGGAATTTTGTAAATTGGTAATTTCTTTTTTGATAAAAATAAATGATTTGATATAAAGTTAGATAAAAATGAAAATGAAAAAGAAAAAGTTAATAAAAAGGAGTTATTTATGAGCTGTATGTTGGAAGAAGCTGTGCAACTCCTAATCAGTAATCACTACTTCCTTTTACCATTCGTTTCATCTTCTTTCTCCGATCACCGTCGTTCTTCCTCTACTCGCCGGAACCACAGCCTCTGCACTGCCGTCCACGACACCGGACTCCTCCATCCTCCTGTCTCCGTCGATCTCTAGACGCCGTATACTTTTGTTCCTTTTCTCCCATCTTTTTTTTTATCGTCCTCTCGGTTTCCCCTTCCAAATCTCACTCTAAACACCGTCGCCGGCGACAAGTAACAGCAAGGCTGTTCTTTTTCCGATCTTCATATCTCAGTTACTTTCCAGTTGCTTGGATCAACCTAACAATATACGAATTTATGCCATGGAAGATGTTTCTACAGAGTTGTTTTATTATCACAAACCTAAGATCCCATGGCTCTGATCTTGCATTTCCTTATTGTTGGAATCGGTGATCTCGAAACTATAATCAGGTAAATCTAATACTTTCAATTTATTTTTCAATTTAGTTTACATTCACGATTAAAGGCTTATGTTGTAACTTACCCAAATTATACCGCCATTTGTAGGATTTATATTTTTATTTCACTAAAAAAAATTCATCATGAAATAAATACAGATGAAGAAAACATATTGCGAAACAAATATAAGAATTGTCTCATCCCTTAAGAAAATGAATCGAGTGTGATACACTTATTATTTAAGAAACATGGATAAGGTGTATCAAATGGTCGATAAAAAGAAAATTACGAGTAGACAAAAGGTAACAACATATTGAAGATTATGATAATTTTTTGATGTATCAAAATATCAACTCTACCAACCCGTACGTTTTGGCTAGGTTTAGGTTGCATTTTGGTTTTGGTTGGATTGGGGTTGAGATTTTTCAAACAACAATCATTGAGTTGAGTTATTCAAATGTCTTCAATCCGATTAATCAAATCCATGAGCATCCTTATTTAAAAAGTTCCATATTTAAATGTCAGAATATAAGGGTGGGTAGGTGTAAGCAGATGAATAAAAATAAAAATAACAATGAATGAATTTTTATTTCCCTCCGTTTAACCTAAAATAAAATTTGAGTTTCTAAAGAAATGGACCAATTATATTATTTAAAATAAAATAGTTTCTTTTCTCTTAAACTCTGTTAATTACCACTTAATACTTATAACTAGGTGTAGATACATACCACAAAAAAGGTTAAGTTTTTGGGTTGATATTTTTATCCCCGTCATCACTTTTCACCTCCTGCATATTATTCTCTCACTCACAAGATGGATGATTATTTCTTTCTACCTTTTTTTTTAATTTTAATTTCAAATTTACATTTTATATCTATATAATTAGTTAATTAATTTACTTTCGTCAATACCTTCAAAATGAATCTAATATTGAATATTTTTTTACTTAATATTATTATTATATATAATATGAAAAAATATTTTTAATATTTACACTTTACACTCTTATAGTTATTTATTTAATTTATGGTACATCATTTGTTTTTTCAATTTTCKTTTTACAYCATTATMAYATTAAAATACATAATTTKATATTAACWAAAATACGTTTTAACATGTCACATTAAAATTCTATCTCATATTCATCAAGTAACATGTCACATTATGAACAATGATATCGACAGTTTGTACAAAATACGTTTTAACATGTGTATCTATTTACATAATTGTAAAAAGTAATCTGATTTGAAATAAAGTAAAGTTACTGATTTGAAATAAAGTAAAGTTACTGATTTAAAATAAAGTAAAATTATTGATTTGAAATAAAGTAAAGTTACTGATTTGAAATAAAGTAAAGTTATTGATTTGAAATAAAGTAAAATTATTGATTTGAAATAAAATAAAAAAGTCGATATATATATATATATATATATATATATATATATAAGATCTTCATAAATAAAGATTAAAATGATAATACTTATAAATATTTTACAACATGAAATAGCTTCCTAATAAGAGGTTTAGCCTGCCATGAAAACTAACCTTGTATTTGTACAATCGGTTGATTACAGAAATAGATGCTTACAAACTTCAAACAACTAATATTTGATATTCTCTAATATTGTTCTCTCTCTCTATGTAGGTGATCTGAAGCTGTGAAGGTGTGTCTGAAACACTTACAAGATAAACTTATTTATAGGAAAGGAAAAGCAAAAACAACTGGCTACCGAAGGCTATTACCGGAAACAAATTCAACATATAAACAGTGAAAAGTTGGGAGCACTACTGAAAAGTATGCCACAATTTTCAAACTTAGAAAAGCAAGCTGCTTTTGTCTTTGTCTTTGTCTGCCACCATTGTCTTATACAGCTGTTAAGATAACAGGTGTATTTTATCTTCATGCTTTACAGGAATTTGTCAGCCAGTCTTTTGAGAGCTTTTTCTTTGAAAAATATTCTCCATTTGTTTTTTGCTTCTTCATCATCATTATGGAACTTGAGAAATGTGTAGGCAGCAATTGCAGATGGAATATAAATATTGACTGTAGGAGTCTCTCCAAAGAGTGAATATTCTTCAGATGTCAATACTTCAGAGTTCCAAAAGAAGTCCGAGTAAAAAACATGGTAATATCATATCTTTACTTCTTCAATGGATTGACCAGAAATGTATTGCCAATTAGGACAATGAAGTAACAACTTGTCTTCCCAATCTGAAGAGAAATTCTTTGATAATATCTTGATGACTGAACAACTAGGTTCAGGCTCAGATTTCCAGAATTTTGGAGGTGAAGAATAAATGTCCACCAAGATGAGATAATCATCATAAGTCTTGACCATTTTAATAGCTTCAATGACACGAACTGGAAGCCAATTAATTTGATCAATATCATATAGGATTAGTCCGCAAAGTAATCCATACTTGAAAAGATCATGAAAACTTATTTTTTTCATTTCGAAACATTTGTTCAGATGCAGAAGATAAATCAATCTGAACTGTTCTAAAAAATATTTGTTTTTCATCATCTGGGGTTGGAATTTCTTCCAATTGAACTGAGAAACYTTGAACAGGTGATCTAGATAAAASCATCAGCCATTCTTGGTATTTTAAAAAGGTTTTAAAGTTGATGTCAGAGAGATCAACTAAGTTTTGTAAAAATGAAAAACAACCAAGATTAGGAACAATTARTTGCTTRTCATCAAACTCTTCTGATTCTTCCAAAATATTTTTTCCTTTTGTTTGTGAAGAAGTAGGAGGAATCAAAGGTTTATTTTCAGAAAAGAGTTTATCAGTGAAATCTAAACTTTCTGTATCATCCATTTTTTCTGTGTTATCAGAAAATTGATGAGTTTCAAAGATGGAGTCCAAATAATAGTTGAAGCCTACTTTATCATGCGTAACTTTAAGACAATCAGCAAGATCATGAAAGCCCTTCCACAAAAAGGAGAGAGGTTTCTGAGCTTCTATTTTAGCAGCAACATCTGTCCATTTTTTGTAAATTCCCTTATAAGGTCCATTCATAAGGAGATAACAATAAAAACGTTTTGGACATTGTTTAATGTCATTAAATCTCTGAGCAACCGAGTTAATAATAAAAAATTTCTCATTGGTTTGGTGAGATTTGGTTTTGAGATTCCATATAGAGTCACAAATAGAAGATTCCTCTTTTGTAAGTCTAGATCTTAAGTTGAAAAGAAACTGCTTATCAGGAGGATAAACAGGAATGAACTGTCTTCCAACTTGTAGTTTTTCTTTAGTCTCAGGGATATTTTCCTTCTTAACAACCCTTGGTTTCGGCATCCTGCAGAAAATTAAGAAGAAAATCTGGATAAGATATCAGGAATAACATTTGTCTTTCCTTTTATATGCTCAAAATTAAATTTTATTCCTTTGTCAATGATATATTCATTTAATCTTAGCCATCTATTTAAAAGAAGCTTAAATTCTTTTTTCATATCAGCAAATTTGACTAAAGATTCACAGTCAGTTCTGAGTGTAATTTCCTTTTTCCCTGTTAAAAAGAGAGCAAAAGATTCACAGGAATTAATAACAGCTAAGACTTCAAAATCTAAAGATGTTAATCTTCCTTTTTCTTTGTAAACACCTGAAGCATATTGTAACGCCCCCAGAACCCCGTAGCAATGATATTGTCCGCTTTGACTAACCTGCCCGCTATACCACAAAGCAGTAGTCGCACGGTTTTGTTTCTGGCAGCCGCACAACGCAAGCCCCAAAACCGGTCATGCTAGGATGAGGTATCCACACCCTTATAAGGAGTGCTTAGTTCTCCTCACCAACCGATGTGGGA